CACTGGGTTGTTGTAGGTTTTTTCGGGCAATATGGCCATGTTCTAGAGCAATGCTTCGCAACCTTGGGTCCCCAGATGTTTTTGGCCTTCAACTCCCAGAAATCCTAACAGCTGGTAAACTGGCTGTGATTTCTGGGAATTGAAGGCCAAAAACATCTGGGGATCCCAGGTTGAGAAGCACTGTTCTAGAGGCATTCTCTCCTGACGTTTCGCCTGCATCTATGAGGATGCTTGCCATAGATGCAGGCGAAACGTCAGGAAAGAATGCCTCTAGAACATGGCCATATAGCCCGAAAAAAACTACAACAACCCAGAACATACACACACACACAAGCTGTCCCCTGCCACACGTTGCTGTGGCCCAGTCTGTGAATATGTGTTTTGTGTGTTTATATGTCTGTGTATATATATATTTGTGTATATATGTATATATGTATGTTTGGGTATATATATATGGTTTTGTGCATGCGTTGTAATGTATTTTTTGGGGTTTATTTGCTTTTTAAGTCCCTTCCGCTGTGTTTCCCAATGCTTTTATGAGTGATGGTCACTCGTTGGCCTGATTGTTGTCTTGTGTCCAAATTTGGTGTCAATTCGTCCAGTGGTTTTTGAGTTACGTTCATCCCACAAACGAACATTACGTTTTTATTTATATAGACTAGCCGTCCCCTGCCACACGTTGCTGTGGCCCAGTCTGTGTATATGTGTTTTGTGTGTTTATACGTGTGTGTATATATATTTGTGTATATATGTGTGTTTGGGAATATATATATATGGTTTTGTGCATGCGTTGTAATGTAATTTTTGGGGTTTATTTGCTTTTTAAGTCCATTCTGCTGTATTTTCCAGTGTTTTTATGAGAGATGGTCACTCGTTGGCCTGATAGGTGTCTCGTGTCCAAATTTGGTGTCAATTCGTCCAGTGGTTTTTGAGTTATGTTAATCCCACAAATGAACATTACACACACACACATATGTATATATAACCATATTTATTTATTTACCATATTTATATACCGCCTTTCTCAGCCCAAAGAGTACAAACAACCCATTGCACAAATAAAACAAAACAAGCAACAAGCAAAAAGGCCAGGAAGGAAAAGAGAAAACCAGCAGATGCCTTTTTCGGGGCTCTTATTGAAGTTGCTAATGGCATGGTATGTTGCTTTATGTAATGTGGATGGAAAACAGGAGAGTAGTAAACCTGACCTATCCTTTCCTCCATACCTTGGAACAGTAACTTTGGAAAGGATTTTTTAACAGTAAACTCTTAAGTAAAAAAAGGTTGAGAAGAGTAACTTTTGCACATGTTTCACTTATTCCGTGCTAGATTATATGATAATCATGTAATCCATTTCAATGCAGTTAAACTGCATTATATGAACCTACACTCATTGTAAAAATACTATTAGTATTATTATATTATAATATATTATTATTATTATTATTATTATTATTATTATTATTATTATATTTACCTAATAAATCCCAGCCTCGAGATGCAAGGAGAGGTAGGTAATAAATATATTACTATTGGGATAGAGGCGGGGTCGAGAGCAGGGCCTCCCCAGAAGATCTTAAACTCCGAGGTGGGACGTAGAGGGAGATTCGTTCAGACAGAAACACTGGGCTGGAACCGTATAGGGTCTTGTAGGTCAAAACCAGCACTTTGAATTGTGCTCAGAATTGGATCGGCAGCCAGTGGAGCTGACACAACAGGGGGGTGGTATGCTCCCTGTATGACTCTCCGATGAGCAATCTGGCTGCCTCTCGCTAGACTAGTTGGAGTTTCCAAGCAGTCTTCAAAGGCAACCCCACGTAGAGTGCGTTGCAGTAATCCAATTGGGATGTAACAAGAGCGTGGACCACCGTGGCCAGATCCGACTTCCCAAGGTATGGGCGCAGCTGGCGCACAAGTTTTAATTGTGCAAAAGCTCTCCCGGCCACCGCCGAGACCTGGGGTTCCAGGCTCAGCGATGAGTCCAGGATCACTCCCAAGCTGCGAACCTGCGTCTTCAGGGGGAGTGTAACCCCGTCCAACACAGGCTGTAACCCTATACCCTGTTCGGCCTTACGACTGACCAGTAGGACCTCTGTCTTGCCTGGATTCAATTTCAATTTGTTAGCTCTCATCCAGTCCGACACAGCAGCTAGACACCGATTCAAGGTCTGGACAGCCTCCTTGGTGACAGGTGAGAAGGAGTGACAGATCTGGACATCATCTGCATAGAGATAACATCTCATTCCGAAACTCCGAATGATCTCCCCCAGCGGCTTCATGTAGATGTTATATAACATCGGGGACAGAATTGAACCCTGTGGGACTCCACACAACGGTTGTGGGGCCAAACAGGTGTCACCCAGTAACACATTATTATTATTATTATTACCCAATGCATCTCATCCCAGAGCTGMAAGGAGAGGCAGGTAATAAATGTATTACATTACTGTGTTGTCAAAGGCTTTCATGGCTGGAATCACTTGGGAGGTGTTAGCTGGCCCAACAAAGGATCTCCCCAKACAGCAACAAGCCAGGCCTTGAAAGTACAAGGCCATTAAATGGTAATAAAGGTGGCAAATTGCAACATTCACCCGTGCCTCAAGCAGACAAGAGTTCTTTCTTCCACCCTGGACTTTCCACAGATATATAAACCMAATTTTCCTAGTTTCCAACAGACCTACCAAACTCTGAGGATGGCTAGTATAGATGTAGGCGAAACATCAGGAGATAATGCTTCTGGAACGTGGCCAGACAGCCCAGAAACCTCACAGCAACCTATTATATTATTGTTATTGTTATTATTATTATATTTACCCAATAAATCTCCCTTAGGGAGATAGAGTGGAATACAAGTATAGTGTTGTTTATTGTTGTTGTTGTTGTTGTTGTTGTTGTTATTCCATAATGCAGTTCAGGCTGGAACTACGCTGCTATATCATCTAGGATCTGATTCCAGATTATCTGATTTGAACTGGATTATGTGGTCTACCTGATTCGAGATCAGATCTTGGGATGTCAGGCAATGTAGATCCACCCCGAGTCTACACTGCCACGCAATGCAGTTCAATGTAGTTGAATCTGCATTATATGGCAATGTAGATGGGGCTTGAGCCCCCATCTGCACTGTAGAATTAAGTCAGCTTGGTGCCACTTGTTGTGGACAACAAAAAGCCTACGATAAAAGAACGGAAACAATGGGTAGGCACACAATTATTATTATTATTATTATTATTATTATTATTGATATTGTTATCACAAAATTAATAATGCAAAGTGATCTGGTCTACGTGGATGGGGCCTTAACAACCCCCCATTAAGGTAGTCCAGCATTTCCTCTTTGTGGGAGGGAAATATTTGGAATTCCTCCCGGCTCCAGATTCACAAGAGAATTTGGCCTCTTTCTGGGAAGAAGCTTCCAAGCAAAGTCAAGATAGGCTTTTCTCCCCCGGAATGACAAAGGAGGCTCCGGCCCCTTCTATGCTGCCATATGATCCAGGCCAAAGCAGATCATCTGGAATTTATATGGCAATGTAGAAGCCTCCATACACACACACACACACACACACACACACACACATATATACATCCAAATTCACACACACAACAGATAGGTTAAGCAGCTATGATAAATAGATCAAAGTAGATCATCTGGATTTTATATGGCATTTTATATGGATTTTATATGGCCTCGAGTGCAATCTACACTGACCATATAATCCAGTATATGAATGCAGATTATCTGATTTGGACTGGATTATATGCGTCTGAACTGCCATATAATCCAGTTCAAATCAGAGAATTTGGGTTTTATATGGCAGCGTAGAAGGGTCCTCAAAGAGGCTGTTGCATCCACCGGCAAACGTAAAGGTTTCACCCTGGCATTAAGTCCAGTCGTGGCCGACTCTGGAGGTTGGTGCTCCATGACTGCATACTGTTTTTATTGTTTATAATGAATGTTTTATTTGTTGTTTTAATTGTTATTATATTGCTTTGTTATATGTAGTGGCATCGAATTGCTGCCAAATGTAAGCCGTCCTGAGAAGGAAAAGGGTAGAAATACCCGAAATAAATAAATAAATAAATACCCGCCAGAGCGGTACCTATTGATCTACTCACATTTGCATGTTTTCTAACTGCTAGGTTGGCAGGAGCTGGGGCTGACAGCGGAAGCTCACGACGCAACAAGTTCTTATATATATATATATATACAGACACACACACATATACATATATAATACACACACACATATACAAGCACACACATACAAACTTCTGAGGATGCCTCCAAGCAACAGCGGCCAGGCTACCTCTATACCAGGCATGGGCAAACTTGGACCCTCCAGGTTTGTTAGGAATTGTGGGAGTTAAAGTCCAAAAGACTTGAGAGCTTATGACTGCTCTATACAGACACCCTCCCTGATTGACTTTGAAAAACTTCATGGCTGCTCTATACAGATACCCTCCCTGATTGACTTTGAAAAACTTCACGGCTGCTCTATACAGATACTCTCCCTGATTGACTTTGAAAAACTTAATGGCTGCCCTATACAGACACCCTCCCTGATTGACTTTGAAAAACTTCACGGCTGCTCTATACAGATACTCTCCCTGATTGACTTTGAAAAACTTCACAGCTGCTCTATACAGACACCCTCCCTGATTGACTTTGAAAAACTTCATGGCTACTCAATGCTAACCAAGCTTGCTAATTGCAACATTCACCATTGCTTCATGCAGACAAGGGTCTTTCTCCCACCCTGGGTATTATCCCACAGGTCATATACACCCCACTCGCTTCACGTCTGACAGACCCTCTGATGATGCCATGAGCCACAGATGCAGGTGAAACGCCAGGAGAGAATGCATCTGGAACATAGTGGCCACACAATCTGGAAACCTCTCAGCAACCCAGTGATTCTGGCCACGAAAGCCTTCGACAAGAGATGGGTCACTCCGGCTTCCATTCCCGCTAAGCTTGGTCTGCCCAAGGTGACACTTACTTGCCCAGGTGAGGATGGCCATGCTGGTGGCCAGCAGGAAGACCACTGGACCGGTCTCCATGCCGTCTGCGTGGCTTGCTTTAGCCCGTGTCCAGGGGCAGAAGTCCGAGGGCAGCGCTCTCTGCCGGACAGTGGCCTTTCGGGGCTGGGCGCGGGGTGGACTGGAGGCTCACTGCGGCCCTTCTCCACTCCAGCCTTGGTCTGTTTTGGGGAGACCCGGAGAGCTGGCAACGAGGGGCAAGGCCAGGCGCAAAGAAGCTTCACCCTTCTGCCGTGGCTGCCTGCGTCTGCTCTTGAGCGGCCTCTGGCCAGATGGGCTGGACTCCGTCCGGATGATGCATCGGAGGCAGGAAATCGACTCCCAACTTCAGAGGAAGGCCTGCCTGCCAAAACAGCAAGAGGAAATGCTGGGGAGTTTTTTCTTTAAAGAGAGGAAACCTTCTTCGAAGGATGCAAACAACTCCGTCCCCATCCGCACTGCCAGGAAGCGCAGCACAGGCCGCCCTTGAGTTACGAACAAGGCAGTCGCTTCTGTCGGAAGTCGGAACAGGGACATTCGCTCATAAGTGCCACTCCAGACAAATATACATGTTGGATAGCAAAGGGAAGGGTCAACAGTTGGAGGAGGACACCACTCCACAACGGCTCTTTTGCTCCCTGGTTCTTAATGCCGATTCATTCTGCATTTCGTGCTGTGTGGATGCACCTTCTCTGGCTGATCCAGGCCATGCTTGCAAAACTCAGGTGTCAATCCAGCCATAGCTTATGAATGACCTTGAGATGCTCTTGAGTCTTTTTGGAAAAAAAGAGGAAGTGGGACATAGAATCCTAGAGTGGGAAGAGACCTCCTGGGCCATCCAATCCAACCCCATTCTGCCAAGGAGCAGGAAAATTGCTTTCAAAGCACCCCTGACAGATGGCCATCCAGCCTCTGCTTAAAAGCTTCCAAAGAAGGAGCCTCCACCACACTCCGGGGCAGAGAGTTCCACTGCTGAACGGCTCTCACAGTCAGAAAGTTCTTCCTCGTGTTCAGGTGGAATCTCCTCTCTTGTAGTTTGAAGCCATTGTTCCATTGCGTCCTAGTCTCACTCCAAGGAAGCAGAAAGGAAGCTTGCTCCCTCCTCCTCCCTGTGGCTTCCTCTCACATATTTATCCATGGCCCTCATCATGTCTTCTCTCAGCCTTCTCTTCTTCAGGCTAAACATGCCCAGCTCCTTAAGCCGCTCCTCATAGGGCTTGTTCTCCAGACCCTTGATCCTTTGAGTTGCCCTCCTCTGGACACATTCCAGCTTAGGTCAATATCTCTCTTCAGTTGTGGTGCCCAGAATTGGACACAATATTCCAGGTGTGGTCTAACCAAAGCGGAATAGAGCATGGGGAGCATGACTTCCCTAGATCTAGACACTATGCTCCTCTTGATGCAGGCCAAAATCCCATTGGCTTTTTTTGCCGCCACATCACATTCCTGGCTCATGTTCCCCTTCCTCCCCACGAGGACTCCAAGATCTTTTCCACACGTCCTGCTCTCGAGCCAGGCCTCATCGTCCCCCATTCTGTCTCTTTGCATTTCGTTTTTCCTGCGAAAGTGGAGTATCTTGCATTTCCCCCTGTTGAACTTCATTGTGTTAGTCCTAGTCTCCAGGGAAGCAGAGAACAAGCTTGCTCCCTCCTCCTCCCTGTGGCTTCCTCTCACATATTTATACATGGCCCTCATCATATCTCCTCTCAGCCTTCTCTTCTTCAGGCTAAACATGCCCAGCTCCTTAAGCCGCTCCTCATAGGGCTTGTTCTCCAGACCCTTGATCCTTTGAGTCGCCCTCTTTCTCTACACACAGTATTCCAGCTTGTCAACATCTCCTTTCCTATGCATGGCTATCATGCATATCTCCTCTCCGCCTTCTCTTCTTCAGGCTAAACATGCCCAGCTCCTTGAGCCGCTCCTCATAGGGCTTGTTCTCCAGACCCTTATTATAAATAAATTATTATTATTCAAAAATGACTTGGCAGTTTAGGAGAAATTAAAGTATAAACTTCTGAAGCAAGCACAAACTGTCCCGATTGTTGTTTTGGGTGGACCATTCCATGGATGTGAGGCCTAGCCTAGGACCAAACCACCGCCCGGAAAGACATTCCCCATCATGGACAGAAGTCCCATGGAAGCGGAATGTGGGTCTTTTCTTACCTTATGGCTGAGAGAGTGTGCTATTCGAGCAAGCCGGGCCCGCTGCCAAGGCCTCTCCAGCCCAGGTAGGCCCCAAGATGGCGACCTGGCCTGAGGTGAAAAGACAGGCCTGAAGTGAAGTTTGCCCAGGGCCTCGCACCCCAAACCAGGCCCTTGGGAGATGTAGACTTCCAAGAGCGTGCCCCTCCTGAGGCCAAGAGAGGGGGGGCGACCCCACGGCTTCCACTCGTTTGTGAGGCCGTGAGCCAGAGCAAGCCGGGCCCGCTGCCAAGGCCTCTCCAGCCCAGGTAGGCCCCAAGATGGCGGCCAGGCCTGAGGTGAAAAGACAGGCCTGAAGTGAAGTTTGCCCAGGGCCTCGCACCCCAAACCAGGCCCTTGGGAGATGTAGACTTCCAAGAGCGTGCCCCTCCTGAGGCCAAGAGAGGGGGGGCGACCCCACGGCTTCCACTCGTTTGTGAGGCCGTGAGCCAGAGCAAGCCGGGCCCGCTGCCAAGGCCTCTCCAGCCCAGGTAGGCCCCAAGATGGCGGCCAGGCCTGAGGTGAAAAGACAGGCCTGAAGTGAAGTTTGCCCAGGGCCTCGCACCCCAAACCAGGCCCTTGGGAGATGTAGACTTCCAAGAGCGTGCCCCTCCTGAGGCCAAGAGGGGGGGGCGACCCCATGGCTTCCACTCGTTTGTGAGGCCGTGAGCCAGAGCAAGCCGGGCCCGCTGCCAAGGCCTCTCCAGCCCAGGTAGGCCCCAAGATGGCGGCCAGGCCTGAGGTGAAAAGACAGGCCTGAAGCTTGGCCTGGGAAGCCAGGCTCTCGCACCCTCTGGTTGTCCTCTGGGAAAGGATGGGAGCAGGGAAAGGCCTCCTTCCCCACGAGGAGCCTGCCTCCTGCCTCAAGATGGGGCACAGCCAGAGGGTGGAGTAGCCTTCCAGAGCCGGCCACTCCACCCCTGTCCACCACAGGCGATACCATTATGTCAAGCCGCTTTGAGGCCCCTCCTTCGGGAGAGATCAAGCCAGGTATCCATACTGGACATACTCCAATATAAGCCCCCTTTTTTAGGCTGAAAAAGGCCCCCCTCAACTTATACTCAAGTCCAGGTTATTTATTATTTTACTCTATTATTATTATTATTATTATTACATTTATTATTTTATTCAATTACTACGGTAATTATTACATTTCCATTATTTTACTCTGTTATTATTACATTTATTATTTTATTCTATTATTGTTATTATTACATTTATTATTTTATTCTATTATTGTTATTATTACATTTATTATTTTACTCTATTATTATTACATTTCCATTATTTTACTGTTATTATTACATTTATTATTTTACTCTATCATTATTATTACATTTCCATTATTTTACTGTTATTATTACATTTATTATTTTACTCTGTTATTGTTATTATTACATTTATTATTTTACTCTATTATTGTTATTATTACATTTACATTATTTGCTCTGTTATTATTACATTTATTATTTTACTCTCGTATTACTACATTTACATTATTTGCTCTGTTATTATTACATTTATTATTTTACTCTCGTATTACTACATTTACATTATTTGCTCTGTTATTATTACATTTATTTTTACTCTATTATTATATTTATTATTTTACTCTATCATTATTATTACATCTACATTATTTACTGTTATTATTACATTTATTTTTTCACTATTATTATTACATTTTTATTTTACTCTATTATTATTATTACATTTATTATTTTACTCTATTATTATTATTACATTTCCATTATTTTACTGTTATTATTACATTTATTACTTTACTCTGCTATTATTATTATTATATTTCCATTATTTTACTGTTATCATTACATTTATTATTTTACTCTATTATTGTTATTACATTTCCATTATTTTACTGTTATTATTACATTTATTATTTTACTCTGTTATTGTTATTATTACATTTATTATTTTACTCTATTATTGTTATTACTACATTTACATTATTTGCTCTGTTATTATTACATTTATTATTTTACTCTCGTATTATTACATTTACATTATTTGCTCTGTTATTATTACATTTATTTTTACTCTATTATTATTACATTTATTATTTTACTCTATCATTATTATTACATCTACATTATTTACTGTTATTATTACATTTATTTTTTCACTATTATTATTACATTTTTATTTTACTCTATTATTGTTATTATTACATTTATTATTTTACTCTATCATAATTATTACATTTCCATTATTTTACTCTGTTATTATTACATTTATTATTTTATTCTATTATTGTTATTATTACATTTATTATTTTACTCTATTATTATTACATTTCCATTATTTTACTGTTATTATTACATTTATTATTTTACTCTGTTATTGTTATTATTACATTTATTATTTTACTCTATTATTGTTATTATTACATTTACATTATTTGCTCTGTTATTATTACATTTATTATTTTACTCTCGTATTATTACATTTACATTATTTGCTCTGTTATTATTACATTTATTTTTACTCTATTATTATATTTATTATTTTACTCTATCATTATTATTACATCTACATTATTTACTGTTATTATTACATTTATTTTTTCACTATTATTATTACATTTTTATTTTACTCTATTATTATTATTACATTTATTATTTTACTCTATTATTATTATTACATTTCCATTATTTTACTGTTATTATTACATTTATTACTTTACTCTGCTATTATTATTATTATATTTCCATTATTTTACTGTTATCATTACATTTATTATTTTACTCTATTATTGTTATTATTACATTTATTACTTTACTCTGTTGTTGTTATTATTACATTTCCATTATGTTACTCTATTATTATTACCTTTCCATTATATTGCTCTATTATTATTTTACTCCATTTATTATTTTGCTCTCTTTTATTATTATTGGAAGGATATGTAAGCACATTTACTTTGAAGAAAGTTAGAATAATGGTTTAATCAGAGTTGGACAGACTTTTCTTAAATTACACTTTTATGTAAATATTCAAAAACATTTAACCTACTGATGCCTTAATGTTAAATTTTTGGTATCTATTTTTAATTTTGAACTTGACCAGGAGCGGCTGCACTTCCCACCATCGGCTTCGACTTGAGTCAATACGCTTTCCCAGTTTTTTGTGCTAAAATGAGGTGACTCGGCTTACACTCGGGTCGGC